GAAGAGCAGCGACATGGCTGCAGGTCTCTGCGACTCCGGCCATGCAGGTGCAGTGGGCGGCTTCAACCTTCCCTGTGATGCTCACAGTGACCCATGGCTGCAATGCTGGTTCATTCAGTCTTTGAGAGTGCAGCACCTGAAACACACACAGACAAAGTTCATTTAAAGACAAGAACTATGAGCCAAGGCCGACATAAATGTGTTTTATCTACTTTATCATAAATGTAACAAAGTGTCTAGAAAGTTAGCAAATACATGTAATTATGCATTTCTTTATGTGTCCATCTATATAACGTTGCATGTTATAGTGTAAATCTGCCTGTTCTCTGTCAGAAACCTGCCTGCAGAAAATGAACTTAAAGTATGTAATGCAAGGATGCCATCACTGTAGAGATGGAGAAAGCATAAAGTGACAATTAAGAATCACTTAATATGATAAGGAGATTCTGCAGGTCATTAATCAATGTATAAAACTAAAATAAAATGTATTTTTAGTGACACAGGATACAAATATGGAAGCAAGATGTATAATTAGGATTATTTATAATAAATATGAATAAATCATTGCAATTTCTTTAACCATAAAGAATAACTAAATCCTTCAGGACAATGTCACATCAATGCACTGAACTCACTGTTATCCCTCTAACAGCCTCCACATGTTCTCACTGTAATTTCCCCTCATGAATGAATTTATGCTGCACTAATCTGAATGTTTGCAGGGAAATCAAACGCATTTCACTCGCAGTACTCGAGCTGACTTACCTTTGTTTGAATGACGACTTGTACGGCGCTGACTCCACAGATAAGGTATGAAATATGTCAGGCTACGTCAATAGCGGTTGGTCTTCAGGGTTTCTACTCCACGGCCGTATTTCATACGGGTCCACATTTCCAATGCACGCTATTTTCTGCAAGTACCGCCGCTTCGCCTCTGAACGCAATCGGTCTCTATACAGTCCATTCTCTTTTGAGCTGGTTTTAAGCATCTTTCTTGCAGTCGTCGTTCCAACACAGTGTGTTTCTTTTGATTCGTAGACCCCGAAAATGGTGCCGCGCTCCCACAATGCATTGCGGTGTGACGTCAACTCCAAAGCCCTATGCAAGACCTTGGAGTAGGGGTATGTCACCAGGGTGCAGAGGAGGCTACCCCCCCCTCTGTCCGCTTCTGGCTGCCTCTGCCTCAATTTTCTCCCACAACTTAGACATTCACATTACTCACACTCTCATTACACATACATATAGGATCTTGGGGGTGGGCACAATCACGGAGTCCAAATTACCATCAGGGTGTACACCCCACCCATGGCATCGTTGCCCACCTCTCAATTTTAAATACACGTAGACATTGAGGGCTAGCAGGAGGGACCATGCGCTTACCTGCTGCTCTCTGGCAGGTAGCTCCATGCCCTCCTGGGTTTTAATTGCACCTTAGAACACACATGCATCAACACTACAATGAGCGGGTGGAGGGAGGTTTGGAGTCTTCTCTCACCCCCGTTCTCTGCGGCCTGCTGGAGCGGGAGGGCTAGTAGGAGGAGTTGGCCGTCCGACTGCGGTCTGGAGTGTGGGGCCTCCCTGCTGCTGCGGAGTCGGGGCGGTCTGCCTCTCCCCACCGCAGGGAAAAGGGTAACACCACCTGGGTCTGGGTGCAGTTCCCCCCTCCAGAGGCAAGGGTACCTAGACCCGGTTTGTAGAGTACGCTTGGTGTGATCGTGTGTACAACGTCTCTTTATGTCTGTCTCCACGTCGGTTGAGTGTGAAGTGAGTGCATATGAGAGCATGAGGGTGGGAATGGATGTTTGTGTCTGTGTGTGCCTGTATGTCTGTGTCTATATGTCAGGTTGGGTATCAGACGCCACCTCTCTGGGGACATCTCAGGCCCTCCAAGGTTTGGAGGCCTATCTCCACCCACCACCACTTCCCCTGCCAGTGGCAGACTCCCTCAGACATCTTTGTGTCTGGGGATGGGCGTCCGGGTACACACCGGCTCACTCCTTGGCGGCCGCTTGTCGGGGCCTGGGGCTCGGTCACTCAGGCACAGCTGGCTGCCGGCGGAGCTCACGGGCGCGTCACTGCAACTCCCCCTGGCTTCTGCTCCGCGGCTACTGAGTGAGCCCTCATCTGGGACTCTCCTCAGCTCTTTCTGGGACAGTGGCGCGGCTGCCCCTCTGTGGGTCTTCCTTGGTCTCTTGTGTTCTGAGGGCCTCTGGATGTCTGGAGTTTTGATCTCCTCCACACCTGCTTCATGCCCTGGAGGACGGGGCTGTGGCCCCCCCACACCCTCTAGCAGATCATTACATGAAGGAACCTTTTAAAAAACAAAAAACAAGCGCGTCCATGCTCACAGGTGTACACACGGGTGATCACACCCACAAACTACACCCTTTTTGGCTCCTACCTCAAAGCACACTGTGTTCTGTTGATCTTATGTGCTGCACAATAATGTTTAACATTTAGTATTTACTGTCATATTCCCATATATCATTGTGATGTTGTTTATTCTATTACTCTTGTTCTCTTCTGCTTGTTTTCTTTTTTCTTTCTCAACAGGTGATCCAGGTGATTGATAGATGCATTTTTCATTCTGCCCATTCTGTTGGTTTTTGTCTTTTGCCCTTCTCCCCCGTCCCTCTTCTCAGCTGTTTCTCTTTCTTTCTCTCCTTCTTTCCCCCAGTCAAGTCTGTCCCGTATTCAGCAAGTGAAAATAAAATAAACAATAAAAGGTGAATCAAATGGACCATTACGGCAAGGCTGGGATGGTCAGTTTGGTAAAGTAAATCCGTTGGGCATCTTTCTTTGCCTTTAAACAACAATTCTGATGCAAAAGAGCCAAACGGGACAGGCAAGAAAAACCAAACAATTCACTTTAACAAAAGCCTTACTTTTTCATTGGTCTTTCTTACCATCAAAATAAAGCAGGATCTGTAAGTTGGGACAGATACTTAAAAATGGATTTGCTGGTTAAAATATCAAAAAACAAACGTCCAGCACTCCTGTAAAGTCCCATATTTGATCACACAGTAATAAATAACAAACAAACAAAAAATCTTAGTCACAAACATGGATTAAATGATATTTTCATTCAGCTGCTGGAGACCAAGTACAGCAAGTTGTATCACAAAAAAACTAAACTTTGGAGAGCAGACACACTCTGGGGTTGGACTCAAACCCAGGACGTTTCAGCTGTAAGGCTGAGTGGGTGGGTGCTGCTCAACCCATCTGGTTCTCAGTGTCCCAGTATTCTCACTGGTTTGTGATCCTCAGTGAGCATGTCAATACTACTACTACTACTACTAATAATAATAATAATAATACATTTTATTTATAGGCACCTTTAAGTCCCTCAATAATGTGTTAGTCCCCATAGGGAAATTACTCCTCTGCATTTAACCCATTTACCCAGTGAAGCAGTGGGCAGCCATTGAATGCTGAGCAACGTATAAATGGACTAAGACAGAGTCAGTTGTATGCAATACTGAATGGATGGGTTTGAGAGGTGATTTAAAAGTGGTGAGAGAGTTTGTGGTCTGGAGATCTGGTGGAAGTGCATCCAGTGTTTTATTGCCATTAAGTTTTAGAAAGTTGTTAGTGCTGAGTTAAACCAGAGCTTGATTTCACTGTCAATGACATAAATCCATTGAGGATTAGGGATTTAAAGCACTCAGGCTCAGCACGATTAACTGTTCTAATCACGTTAATGCCTTTAACTTGCTTTGCTGTTTACACTTCAGAGATGCAGTGATGTCTCCTGCTTTATGACAGCAGCACTTTTGGGTTAGGTGGAGCACTTTTAAATTGTTGGGGCTGTGATTCAACATTTTTCTCTGCATAGTCACATGTAGATGTTTCACATCTAGTCAGACTTTCCTATTGGTCTGAATTCCTCTGCAGCGCCTTAGGCTGGTTTCTTTTGTTCGTTCAGATCAACACTTCATGCTGTGCATAGTTCTTGAACTGTAGCATGAACTCTGGAAAATTCAATAAATGTGTGTGAAGACACTTTCACCATGTTACAAAAGTGCTGCTTATTTACTTCATCCTGTCTGCGTTTCCTCAAATTCATCATGGAGTAGGCACATCCTGGAGCGTGCATCAACATTAGACAAATGGGAAGAATCAATCGAAAGTGGCTCGAACAGTGTCAGAGAGGTTTGTGGGTTTTTTCTCATCTGGCTTAAGAGCAGTGCTGGTACTCAAAACACATGATCTGAAAGCAAAGTAAGCAGCAGCTCCAGAAATACCAGCAGCAGTCTTTCCCACACCTTTCTATCAACAACACTTCTTTGTCCACTAAGCCGTTAAAACAGCTTTACTCTCTTCATCAGAGACCAGGGGGACGCACTCGCATTCCTCATCCAGCCAGGTACTGTGTGTGAAATTTTGAGGTGAGAAATGAATTTAATCCATTTTGGAATTGGGCTATAATATGACAAAATGTGGAACGAGTGGAGTCCTGTAAACTCTGGATGCACCGTGTATATGAGCCTCTGCAAATGAGCAGAATGCTGTTTAGCTGTGGAAATCAGGCGTGGCACACCTGGAGCAGAAAACAGCTCTCTTTCATGAAGAGGTCAAAAGGTCAGTGGGCGTAACAGTGTTAGTGTCTGATTGTCTACATTGGTCTTCACAAGACACTCCAAAAATAAATATGATAAATTGCTCGTTGTTTTTTAATTTAGATCCACTCGTAATAAATAAAAGCTGTAGTGTTCAAAATATTTCTGTAATCACAAGGCTCCGCCCATTTTACTGAGGTCCATCCGTAATCAGAGTCCTGACATCGCATCTGAGCTGGAGTGTTGGAAAACTACTGTAAACCAGTGAACCAGTGAAAGCATCTCAGTTAGAAGTAAAAGTAACCAGACCAGTTGGCCTGTGTGTCTAACCAGTAAGTCATGCTTTCACTTATCAGGCTGCTTATGAAGAAACAAAAGTGAAAAGCTTTTCCTGAAGCCTGTGATGCTCATTCAGCTGTGCCAGTGTGTGTCAGTGTGCGACTGTGTGTGTGAAGCAGGATGGAGGGATCCAAGTGTCCACCGGTGATCGTGGAGGGGGACTGGACTCCGGCTCAGACCAAAGCCCTGAAGAACAAACTGCAAATTTACTTCATGAGCAGGAAGAAGTCGGGCGGGGGAGACTGCCAGGTGGAGGCGGAGGAAGGAGCACCGAGGGCGGCTGTTTACTTCAACTCAGTGGAGGGTGAGAGTCTGCTTCATGGGTTAATTTTTTATATCCTCATATCTGTCTGGTTGCTGGAGTCTTTTAGAAATGTGTATTTACAGCCAGGAAATGATCCCACAGCAGCAGTTTGATTGGATTAGAACAAACTGCAGATTTACAGCTTCAAACAGCTGATTTTTAAAAGTGTGTGAGCGTGTATTCATGTCTTTATGGGGACCAACAATTGGAAGTTTACTTTGCTTGTGGGGACCAAAATCCTGGTCCACACAAGTTTGAAGGCCTTCCTGAGACTCAAAATGTGGTTTTAGTGTTAGGGTTACAATTGGGTTACGGTTAGGTTTAAGGTCAGGGTTAGGCATTCATTTTCCATGGTTAGGGTTAGGGGCTAGGCAAAGCATTATGTCCATTACATGTCCCTACAAGATATGAATACCTGTGTGTTTGGTTTGCTGTGATTTCAGTGAGAGAACGAGTCCTTGCGAGGAAGGATCATGTGATCACCCTGGACAGTCAAACCATTCAGTTATGGCTGAGCTCAGCAGCAGTAAGTCCAGTTTAACATGTTTCATGTGGATTTTTCCTCACTCAACTGCATATTTTCTGCTGATATCATGGCTCTTTGTGTGTTTTGTACGTTGCCGTATGATGGGGTGTGGCTCCTCTGAGCTCCAATAATAACCAGCCTGACTGGCAAGATGATGTCATGTATTCGTTGGGGTTAAAGGCAGTGAAATGACTCATCAGGGCAGCACAGCCTAACCTCCAAATCTCCCAGTTTACACTCTCCTCTCAAAGATTTAGTGATGTTCGATTCGTGAACGAATCATTCAGTACTCGAGAATCACTTTACTGACTCGTGAATCATGATTCACAAGCGCAACTGACTCACTGACTCATCCCTGTTGCTGTTAGCAAACTAATTCCATTAGTAGAAATATATCTAGCTTATAATTAAAATTGTGGGGGAAAAACAACAGCCAGTTTATTGACAAAAACATTCCTGCTTTGAACTGGAAGAAAAAACCCTGAGTAGAAGCTCACATCAAGACAATAGCTCCTCGGTTCACAGTAGCATCGCTCAGCTAGCATGCTAACAGCGCATTTGAGGTACTCACCCCCTCCCTTGCTGTGCTGAATCATAGCGTAAGGCGAATCACTCACTCCCTCCCTCCTGGCTCACAGCTTCTTCTTTGTCTTCTTGGTTGGCAATCAATGTTAAGACTGAGAACCTTCACAGACAACCAATGTTAAGGCACTTTACCGACCCCTGGCTCACAGCTCCGTGGACATTTAGATGAGAAAATATATATTTGACACATTTAAGAAAAATACTAATAAAATAAAATAAAAATAAATAAATGTTTCCTTTGGAATTTTTTTGCTCTTTTTTTGCTCTAAAGAAAATAGTTGTTTTCTTTTACAATCATTCCTCTTAGCAGTAGGATATACATTAAAAGAGAAACAAATTAAGTTTGAGTGAAAATATACATTTTTGCACTCTCTGGTCAACTGACTCAGTGACTCAAATGACTCAATAAAATCCGATTCACTTTGGTGAGTGACTCATTAAAACTCGATTCAGTAAAAAGAATCGAATTTACCATCACTACAAAGATTCACAAAATAAACTTTTGCCTTTAATGTCACTAATCGTTCCTCACAGCTACAGCATGTTAACACTGGACTGTTTAGAAAGAAAGTCACATGCGTCGTGTAATGTGATGTTAGAAATGCTAATCAGAGACAGATCAGAGTTTGCACAGGATCAAACTTCGGATTTTTAACTTTTGCTCAGACAACAGAAGCAATCTGAGGATTTCAATTACACATTTTCACATTTAATATATTCGATAAAGTAGTTAGATATCACATTTATGGAAAAAAAATGTTCTCTTATTGTATAAAGTGATATAAAGTAAAGTAACAAAGTCCTGAAGCTGGATATGGGCTCAGTTTCTGTGAGACGACGGCCTCATGCAGCTCCAGTTCTCCTTCATGGTGTAAACTTCTAAAAATGAAATAGATGCTTATTTGGCGTTTCCTGTTTCCTCTCTGCTCCACACTGAACTTCACTGCTCTCCACGTTCCTCCTGACTCCATCATAACTCTACTCAAATGTGATTGTAAAGTACTTTCAAAGTTCTTGCTTTTTTAAAAATTTCATTTAATTTAATTTAAATTATCTGTATTACATTTCTCTGTTCATCACTTTGGCCAACACTTGATGTCTTTTAAATGTGCTATATATAAAGATGACTTGACTTTAAATTTCAGTTCCACTTCAACAGGGGGCAGATTTTTATTTTTTTATTTACTTTCATTGAAACAAATTGTGAGTTCATAAAAGTGGATCCACCAGAATCTCAAGAAAGAAACACAGAGTATGAGTAGCTGTTAAAAAAAACTGTTCAGGTTTTCTGATGAGTTTATCATTCACTCAGTGAACAGCAATAAAACATTCAGCTCACGCTCACATGTGTCAGTCAGGTCATGTGATGATATATAGACTATTCACCCATACAGGAATTTTTTTTTAATCAGGCTATTGCTGCTGTCTGTTATTTATATTTATACTCTTTATGAATGTTTCTGCAGCATTTAAACTGTGCTGTTTGCTGAGTTCAGTGGTCTAATAATGAAGCTATTCTTTTTTTCAATTGTTTTTTCAAGAAATAAAAAGTTTAAAACTCAAAAAAGTTTGAAATGTGCAATGCTTGAAATGCTTGTTAAACTGAATGCAGACATACTTTTAGATTAAATCTTATTTTTGTTTTTTCTCAGAGCCCAACATGCAGTGACGATGTCTCAGGTAAATCCTCCTCTCAGTTTATCTCCTTAGTTTTCATCATCACAGTTTTTTTTTCAACCTCTTCTTCATGTGAAACAAGCTACAGTGAGTGTTTGTGGTACTGAATGAAGATTTTACTGGACTTAAAGTTGAAGCACATTCACATCACAAACTGATCTGTCAACATGTCAGATCAGTTTGTTAAACATGTTCTTCATTTGACTGATTATTTATTGTTTCTATGAAGAAAAACAATAAGATCAACTTTAAATCAGTTTGATGTGCAAAGCTTTGTTTGAGCTTTTCTCTGAGCTCCTGTGGTTCGATGTGTTCATGTTTGCTGATCATTACTCTAAACTGGACAAACTGGATCCTCTTGATTCTCAGACTCATCGATGGACACAAAGAAACCTCAGGCTGAACCTGGAAATGGAGCTGCTGCTGCCAGCAAAGAGGGTAAAAACAATCTGTTTAAATAAAGAGAGCTCACGAAAAAATACAGAAAGCTTGTATTTATACTTTATAAAATCACCAAAAAAATTGGCTTTACTGTAGTTGGTCTTTTCATTGAATAAACCCTCACCTTCATCAGCACATGGAGAAGATTTTTTTTTAAAGCTGTAAAGTGACAAAAACAATTTCCTATATGTTATTATAATTACAAAGTCAAGTCAAGTCAGTGCTGATGAGTCTCTCAGGACTTGTTGATGTAGGCAGCTGCAGCTGGAAGAAGCTTTGCTCTCATGAGGTGCATCCTACTGTCTGAGGTTTATTGAAGTCCTCCTACCCATGATTTTCTACTGTTTACAGAGCACATTTTATTTCTGATGAAAATTTAAACTTTTTTTTCCCCCTTTTAAAGTCTGTGAAGGTTCTCAGTCATCCAGGTCATCGTTACTTTCCTTTTAAAGAGAAATGTTGCTGAAAGTAAAGTTTCAGGAATAACAGGTGAACAAAAGCCTCCTTCCCTCACTGCTCACAGACACTTTCTTTGATCATGTTTGTGTGTTTCTCTCAGACTCAGAGTCGTCTCAGAGCTGTGCAGTGGTTTTGGAAAATGTCACAGACAACATGTCCACAGATCTGCTCTCCATGCTGGTGGAGAACATCTCTGGGTTGGATGAGAACGGCTACAGCATGGAGAGGATCCTGGAATCCAACAAAGCTGTGGTCACCTTCAGCAGCCCTGCAGGTAGGAAGCAAACAGCTGGATGTTTCCACATACACAAACACAACAAGGCAATACAAGGACAAACATTCAAAATCCCCTTTAGGTTAACCTTTGAGTCTAATTTTAAATTGGCTTTAAACCTGACTTTATACACCAGTCCCATATCTGATCTGGAAAAGTGCAGAGAAGAGCCCATATTCAGATATTTTGTGATTTATGATGGGTCCTCTGTTTTATGTCTAAATATGTTCACCATTCTGTTTGCTGCCGCTGCATCTCAACATCTTTGTTGCTTTACATACAACATAAAGTCGTCTACATACAAAATATGATCACAATATGCAGGAGCTCATTTAATATTTTTCTGTGAAGACAGAGCACAACCATTCCTTCTGTTATTCATTAAAACTGGATTCTAACCTTGAATCAGGATCTATTGCAAAGAACAGAAACAGCATAAAACCACGCAGGTCTGTCTGTAATAAAATGAAAGAAATTTAGACATATATTGGCAATTAATTTATTTCTGACAACATGTCTATATAACAGTTTATAGCCCAGCTCTTTTCTCTCATCCTCTGAAACTGTTTCAGTCTGAAAGGATTAATCTGGATTATTTTGCAGATGTGGAGAGATTCCTCTCTGTAAGTCAGAGCAGCACAAAGATGAAGAAACAAGGACTGACTGCTCGGCCTTTGGAGGCAGCTACGAACATCCGAGTAGAGAGTCCTCCTTTGACTGTGGTAAAAGGTATATATATTTTTAATGCACTTTCACATAGAAAGTTAACTATGCTGCGCTGACGGCTAGGCAGAGGTGTAGTCCAACTGAAAAACACCAGAGTGAGTGATTTTTTTTCTCAAGTGAAACAATTTAAATATTCACAGGTTGAGATTCACTTCTCACTTTTAATGTTTTTCACTCAACAAAGTTTATAAAGACAAAATGTGTGTTTTAAAATTAGTTGCCTCAAAGTGCTTTAAATGACAAGATAAAGACCCTAAAATATTAGAAAGAAAACAGAAAACTCCAACAATCTTACCCCATGAGTCTTGGCTACAGTGGCTACATTTAAAGGAAGAAATCTTCAGCAGAACCAGACTCAGGGAGGTGAGCAAGGGTCAGCACCAGGGGAAAGCACTCTGTTTACATCCAAAAGCTGTATTTCTAACCTGTACTTGGTAAGGAAATCTAAAATCTAAACGTGTCTGTTGTTGTTGTTTTTGAAGGCTGTAAGTTTCGATGATTTTTTTCTAGATGAATCTTACCTCCACCTGAGGTGCCACATGTATCTGTATTTGTCAGGCCTTGTTGATGAGGGCAGCTGCAGAATGGGGATTTTGCACTGATGGAGTGCATCCTCCTGTCTGATGTTTATTGAAGTCGTCAGCAGCTCTGCTTTAGATGACTTCCTCCTTTACTTATCTTAATGTAGCTTTTAAGGAGCACATTTTATTTCTGATGAAGGATTTAAACTTTTTCCCGTTGGGCCCATCCCGTTTAAAGAAAGAGAAATGCTGCTGAAAGTAAAGTTTTAGGAATAACTGTCACAATCTGCAGAAGCTGACTGTATGGAGTGAAGAGTTGGACCCAAGTGGAGACACAGGAAAATCAAACTTGATTTTAACTAAGTGCGAGCCGTTTATTGAAGGCTAGTAAAACAGTACAAAAACTAAGGGCAAAATGGGAAACTAAGTTGTAAACTAAACTGGGTGAGCTAAACAAAAAACAAAAACAAAAAAACAAGAACAAGAACATAAATGTAGAAAACCTGAAACAAGAAGACTTGGCATGAATTCATGGACTTGGAAACATTGCATAATATAAAGAGAATGAACAGACAAGGAAGGAAGGGAAACTCAAAGAGTAAATACAAAACGGAGGTGATCAGAGGTAGTGGGAACACACGGGGAAAAAGCTGATATGAATGAACAAGACGCCACAGAAAAAGTGAAACTAATCACATTGAACATGGAAACACCAGACTCCATCCATCCATTTTCTTCCGCTTTATCTGGGACTGGGTCATGGGGGCAGCAGCCTCAGCAGAGAAGCCCAGGCCAGCTGAGAGATATAATCCCTCCAGCGTGTCCTGGGTCTGTCCCGGGGCCTCCTCCAGGTGGGACATGCCCGGAACACCTCACCCATGAGGCGCCCATGAGGCATCCTTGTCAGATGCCTGAACCACCTCCATTGGCTCCTTTCAATGTGGAGGAGCAGCGGCTGTACTCTGAGCCCCTCCCGGATGGCTGAACTTCTCTCCCCATCTCTAAGGGAGAGGTCAGCCACCCTTCAGAGGAAGCTCATTTCCACCGGTTGTATCCACAATCTCATTGTTGGTAGTGACCGAAAGAATGAGGATAGGGACATAGATCGACCAGTAAATTGAGAGCTTCGCTTTTACGCTCAGCTCTCTTGTCACCACAATGGACCAGTGCAACGTCCGCATCACTGCAGCTGCAGCACCAATCCGTCTGTCGATCTCCGGCTTCCTTCTTCTATCACTCGTGAACAAGACCCAGAGATACTTGAACTCCTCCACTTGGGGCAGGAACCCGTCCCCGACCCGCAGTAGGTACTCCACCCTTTTCCGACTGAGGACCATGGCCTCAGATTTGGAGATGCTGATCCTCATTCCTGCTGCTTCACACTGGCTGTGAACCATTCCAGTGCAAGCTGGAGGCCATCACCCGATGACGCCAACAGAACCGCATCATTCGTGAAAAGCAGAAATGAGATTCTGAGGACACCTAAGTGAAAGCCCTCCGACACTGGGCTGCACCTGGAAATCCTGTCCATAAAAATTATGAACAGAATCAGTGACAAAGGGCAGCCCTGGCGGAGCTCATCTCCCACCGGGAACGAGTCCGACTTGTTGCCGGCTATGCGAACCAAGCTCTTGCAACAGTTGTATAGGGATCGAATGTCCCGTAGCAATGGGCCAAACACCCTATACTCCGGCAGCACCTCCCACAGGACACCCCGAGGGACACGGTCGAATGCCTTCTCCAAGTCCTCAAAACACATGTAGACTGGTTGGGCAAACTCCCATGCGTCCTCCAGTATCCTTGAGAGGATAAAGAGCTGGTCCAGTGTTCCGCGACCAGGACGAAAACCGCATTGTTCCTCCTGTATCCGAGGTTCGACTAGCGGACGAACTCTCCTTTCCAGCACCCTGGCATAGACTTTCCCAGGGAGGCTGAGGAGTGTGATCCCCCTGTAGTTGGAACACACCTTCCGGTTCCCCTTCTTAAAAATGGGGACCACCACACCGGTCTGCCAGTCCACAGGTACTGCCCCTGATCTCCATGCAACATTGCAGAGGCGTGTCAGCCAAGACAGCCCTACAACATCCAGAGCCTTCAGGAACTCGGGGCGGACCTCATCCACACCAGGGGCTCTGCCACCAAGGAGTTGTTTAACTGTGTGGCGGAGGTGTGGTCCCACCCGCGGGTGCAGGGGAGGAGTGATGCAGTGAGCTCAACGGGGCGGTGCTGGAGAGGCAGGTGAGAACAGCTGATGGTGTTGGGACTGATTCCTTCCCCTTTTTAGTGAGACGGGAGAGGAGCGGAGGTGAAGCTGTGATCAGCTGAGGCCGGAGCTGTCCAGACTACAGACTATCACTACAAACGAAAACTAAAAATAAACTTGGCTTCTGGCAGTAAAGAACTGTGTGTGCGTGTACGTGTGTGAGGTGCATTTCACAAACTGCCTCAGTGACCTCACCCCCGGAAATTGGCGGGTCATTCCCCTCATCCCCAGACTCTGCTTCCTCCTCAGAAGACGTGTCAGTGGGATTATGGAGGTCCTCAAAGTATTCCTTCCACCGCCTGACAATTTTCTCAGTCGAAGTCAGCAGCGCTCCACCAGCACTATACACTGTACAGGTAGAGCACCGCTTTCCCCTCCTGAGTCACCTGATGGTTTTTCCAGAATCTCTTCGAGGCAGTCTGAAAGTCTTTTTCCATGGCCTCTCCGAACTCCTCCCACACCAGAGTTTTTGCTTCAGCCACTGCCTGATCCGCATTCTGCTTGGCCTGTCGGTGCTTGTCAGCTGCCTGCGAAGTCCCACAGGCTAACCAAGCCCAATAGGACTCCTCCTTCAGTCTGGTGTGCACCACCACCTTGCGGCCACAGCTCAGTGCAGCAGCTTCGGCAATGGAGGTGCTCAACATGGTCTATTCGGACTCAATGTCTCCAGTCTCCCTCGGAATGCTGTTAAAGCTCTGCTGGAGGTGTGCGTAGCAAATCTCGCAGACTGGGGTCTCTGCTAGGCATTCCCAGCGCACTCCCATTATACGTTTAGGTGCACCATGTCTATTCAGGGTCCTCCCCCACGACCTGATCCAACTCACCACCAGGTGGTGATCAGTTGACAGCTCAGCCCCTCTCTTTACCTGAGTGTCCCGAACATATGGTTGCAGGTCTGGTGATATGATTACAAAATCGATCATCAACCTGCGATCTAGAGCATCCTAGTGTCACGTGCACTTATGGAGACTAATCTAACATGATAAACCGACGAGAACATGCACACTATAAATACATACAGAAGGGAAAGGGAACTTGAGATGAGACACGGACATAACTAAGCACAAACAGAAACATGATGGTTGGGGAGAAACACACGTGACAGAAGGAATGGGTCACAAGGAGAAAACATGCAAACAAGAGGAGGAGATGTGAGACAAAGACATTACTGATATACATGAAGGGCAAAGGAGACTAAAACACAGGGACGAAAACACTAGGGGGATCTAATAAACATTACACTATCATGGCAGCCTAGGCAAAATAGAAATGAGCTTAAGATAACTAAATGAACTTAAACATAAACCAGAAACATCAAAATAAAAGAAAACTCCATACACTGGGTCATATGATCCAACATCCTGGCAATAACAGACCGAACAAAAGCCTCCTTCCCTCACTGCTCACAGACACTTTCTTTGATCACGTTTGTGTGTTTCTCTCAGACTCAGAGTCGTCTCAGAGCTGTGCAGTGGTTTTGGAAAACGTCACAGACAACATGTCCACAGACCTGCTCTCCATGCTGGTGGAGAACATCTCTAGGTTGGATGAGAACGGCTACAGCATGGAGAGGATCCTGGAATCCAACAAAGCTGTGGTCACCTTCAGCAGCCCTGCAGGTAGGAAGCAAACAGCTGGACATTTCCACATACACAAATACAACAAGGCAATACAAGGACGAACATCCAAAATCCCCTTTAGATTAACCTTTGAGTCTAATTTTAAACCTGACTTTATACAACAGTCACAGATCTGATCTGGAGGTGCAGAGAAGAGCCCATATTCAGATATTTTTTCCACACAGATTGTGTAGTTGATGAATAGGTCCTCTTTTTGATGTCTAAATATTTAGTACTTTGAGATTTCAATAATGTAAATGAATGAATGAACACAAATGAGTCAACAGACACAATATTCCTCTTCGAGCAGGGAACTTATCATCTACATATAAAATAAGAACACAACACGTAGGACCTGATTTAATATTTTTCTGTGAACACTACCAGTACAACCATTCCTTCTGTTATTTATTAAAACTGTATTCTAACATTGAATCAGGACCCATTACAAAGAACAGCACACAACAACAGCAGGTCTGTCTCCAATAAATTGAAATTAAGAAATTTAGACATACATTGGGAGCTTCATTCATTTCTGAAAACATGTCTATATAATAGTTTATAGCCCCAATCTGCTCTCTCATCCTCTGAAACTGTTTCAGTCTGAAAGGATTAATCTGGAGTATTTTGCAGATGTGGAGCGATTCCTCTCTGTAAGCCAGACCAGCACAAAGATGAAGAAACAAGGACTGACTGTTCGGCCTTTGGAGGCAGCTACGAACATCCGAGTGCAGAGTCCTCCTTTGACTGTGGTAAAAGGTACTAATCTTGTGCTATTTTATATACAGAGATGCAGTTAATTCATTTTATTAATTACCTGCCAATAGCAGCAACAATTGGCTGCTCAGAATTGAACACATCTGATGAGGAACAAAGGAGCGATTGATGTCCAGATGACAATAATATAGTGTAAGCAAAGGTTTTACATGTTTCTGTCGGAAAAAAAAAAAAAGGTAGTTAAGATCTGTTAGAGGATGCCAAAGAAAATCGATATAATTTTAATGAATAGAAATACTTTCTTGATAGATTTGTTGGGGACTGTGTGAGGTCCTGAGGATTGAGACTCAGGTGGAGTGCATCATTTAGCCAGGGGATTATAAAAAAAAAAAATATTCCACCGTATAAACCGGTAATCTGTGTGAAACAGCTGACTTGTAACATTTTCAGCAGAACACAACATTATATAGTGTCAGCTCTTTATTTGTTCATGAGGTAATGAAGTAAGTAAATAAAGTTTATTTATTAAGCGCTTTTCACAGACAGGCAGTCACAAAGCCCTGTACAAAGATTAAAATAAACAGTACAATCAATAGACATTATACACTTCACCTTTTACATTGTGTAAGTTAAATAATGTGAAGAATATAAAATACATAGATTAACAAAAGGCTTGTTTGAACAGAAAAGTAGTGATGTGCGATACCACTGATTTCCTTTCCGATACCAAGTAATATTCAGGGTGGTATCAATGATACTGATCCGATATCGATACTTTGTACAAAAACTTATTTATTGTATCTCAAATTATAGCATCATAATGATTACAGGACATAAGATAACTTGTTCTTATCACTTAATGCAGAGTTCATCATATAGAAATAAAAAAACTGAAATTGTGCTATTTGAACACCTTGACTGCCTGCAGCACTAAAAGACTCCGTGAGAGACGTCTGTCCCTCTCCTCTTCAGTTCGCCTCAACATACGGTTGTCATGCACTGTAAAATCTAATTAGTTCACAGAACTCAAAAAAAAAAAAAAACTATGTAAACTCGTTGCTTCAAAAAACCCCAAAAAATAATTCAGTAACGTTTTACCTAAGATGATTAAGCTATGGCAACTTACCCATTTTGAGTACACTGTACAGCCTCTTTAGTTCCCAGAACTCAAAACTCAACTAAATGAAAAAACAATTTGTGGTAACCTGAATATGATTAAAAATAATTAACAACACTTTTTGGAATGATGTTAAAATCAGCCCAACTTTTAATTCAATTTTATTTATATAGTGCCAAATCACAACAAAAGTCGCCTCAAGGCGCTTCATAGATACAGAGAAAAACCCAATAATCATATGACCCCCTATGAGCAAGCACTTTGGCGACAGTGGGAAGGAAAAACTCCCTTTTAACAGGAAGAAACCTCGGGCAGAACCAGGCTCAGGGAGGGGCGGGGCCATCTGCTGTGACCGGTTGGGGTGAGAGTATGTATTTTCAAACACAAAGTATAACAGCCAACATACTGGACATTGTTCTGCTGAACAACAAACAATTATATTGCCATCACTGTTATAATCTTAGAATGAAACAAAGTCTCAGATTTAATTATTCTGAAAAGTTTAGGCCTACCAAAACTTTGTTTTGTACTTACATTACTTATATAACCGAAATAAAATATATGTATTGTTCTGTCACAAGTGAAGTCTCTAATTTAAACAAGTTTTTCATTTAAACACAGGAGCTGGAATGTTGTAATATTTTAAGGATGGCTTGTTTCCAGTCCAGGCATTACTGCCTGAATGATTGTCATTGATATAGGTGATCCAAATTTAAGTGCGGAAGAAAGTCTTTAACTTCCCTTAAGTACAGTGGCAGTGAATGTGGGTTGGAGATGCAATGAGCTTGAACCTGCAGGCGACCATCTTCACTGACCACACCATCTGTGACGGAGGACTCATCTCTCCTGTTGTCCTGCAAGCAAACAATCATATTTTTTGGAACACGAACTTAATTGCTTTCTTAAAACAATTTTTCTCCATTTGGTATAGAACAGACTCCAATTTAGACAATCTTAGGCTCCCTGCCCACCAGAGAGGTGACATTCTGTCCCACTTGTCAGTCTAGATAGCCCTGACCACCAATAGAGCGGGCGAGCACAGCTAACTCCTGGCATGTCGTTTTCAACCCACCTGCGGTCTTTTGCTACTTAGGTTAAACATGATATATATATAGTTAGGGCTATGGATTCAAAATACACCCCACACCCCACCCCTAACGGTTGCACCTCCCGAAAACGTTTGTCTAGGCGCTTATCTCACTTTTTTATTTCAAACAATAAACAGAAAATTTCACAGACATATTTTATAAGGTTTTTAAGGCTGTGGTGTTAATTTTTAAGTAACATGAGCCCAGCGGCAGCAGCAACGCTAGGCTAACACTAACTAGCTAGCAAGATTATAAACCTGGTGCTAAACTAAGAGAAGCCACAAAATCAGTTTGAATAAGAGTAAACACTTACCAAGTCAGTGTATCAGGTAAAGATCCACAGCAATGACAACAATAATCTCTTGAGCTGACGCTTTTCTAGGTTTGCTCAACATATTCCAGAAAAAATGCTGGAGCCATGTAAAAGCGGACTGATCTGTGCTAGGGAGGAGGATGGTAGTGTCGTGGCATTTTCAAACCACATCGTTTCATCCTTCCGCACTGAGAAGCTAAACTTCCCGCTTACTTAGTTTTTCTAAGTAAAGAAAACTCAAATAAATTGAGTTGATCAGCATTTTTGCATAAAAAGTACTGGTAAGTTACTTAAATTGAGTTCTAATAACAAATTGATAAAAATTGAGTTTTGCCTACTTAATTTTTAATTAAACACAATATTACATTTTACAGTGTATTCTGTGATGTGATTTACTCTGAGGTGTTTTACATGGCTAGTGATGTTGCCACAACCATACATGCCAACCCTCCCGATTTTTCCAGGAGAATCCCAAATTTCAGTGCCCCTCCAGAAAATCTCCCGGAGCCTCCATTCTCCCCAATTTCTCCCGATTTTCCACCCGGACAACAAAATTGAAAAACCATATCGCAGAATTCATAGCGCAGCCCAACCAATTCCAGTTTCCAACAATGGCGGCAGCGTCTTAGTTTTAATATTACTCTTATTTCTCTTTCTGGGTCACAAAAAAACTTTTAACATATTTTCAGGTGAGCATGTAGCTGTGCAAACTTCAAATATCTGAGCCGACCGACACATCGTCTTCAAACCCCCGCGGTCTTTCACTACTCGGGTCAAACATGATATATAAGTCATTGATAACTTAAAAATGTTCTTGTTTGGTTTTTTCAGTGTTTTATTTCTTCATGAGTAAATCGGTTTGGCTGAGATCAAAGTTATTAGATTAGATCAAATTAAATTTAACTTTATTAATCCCTCGGGAGGGTTCCTGCGGGGTTTTCACACAGCTGAATAAACGTCAAACAGAAAATGATTAAACAGAAGTGTGAGACGGTCGAGAGTTTATGCCAGTGCCGGTTATACTTTAGATAGCAAGGAGCAGACGGCAGAGTTTTACTCCACCGAGGGAGCTCGTGACGTACTACCCAGCTTTCTTTAGACCGCGAAGGCCGGGTCCTCAGGTGGAAGCAGCCTCTGAATTTGGACACCCCCGCTGTTTCCGGGCCGGCCAATAACAACGGTGACATTTAACTTATTTTATCCGATAAATAAGCCCCCCCCCCAAACAGCCCTTTTGAATGTCTCCCTAGTATGGCCACAACATCTCACTTTTTTGCCACATGTATCGCAAACCACGTCTCAGCTGTTCGTGGAGGTAAAATACGTTCGCACATGTGAGTGCCCACACCAAGGGGTTGCGAGACATTTATACAGCCGTATTTCGCACATGACTATCAACGGCGGAAGAGGAAGTAGTTCCTTTGAATGTAGACAATTAGAATGTTATAGTTTCTTTCCACTGTGTTCCTGTTAATGATAAACTACAAATTTACCCTAAATTACTAAAATTTTGATATTTTAATGTGAGAATCGATTCTAGAACATAAATGATTGGTATCGGAGGAATCGATATTTCAGGATCGATCCGCACTTCACTACAGAAAAGTTTAACTGCTTTTTTAAAGGATTGTCAGAGTCAACCAAACGTAATCGTGGTGGTAGACTGTTCCACAGCCTTGGGGCAACAGACTGAAAGCCTCTGTCCCCTTTTGTCTTCAGTCGAGTACGGGGAACAACCAACAGACTGAGTCTGTGAGCGAAGAAGGTGAGCAGCAGTATATTTTATAAGAAGCTTGGATAAATAATCTGGGGCCTGGCCGTTTAATGCTCTGTATGATAAAATTAATTCTAAACTCTATTGGGAGCCAGTGTAAAGAATATAAGGCGGGAGTAATGTGAGAATGCTTGCTAGAACAAGTTAGTAGTCTGGTTGCTGCATTTTGTATTGCATGAATGAGTTTCTCCAATTCTGCTGAAGAGACCATACGTCACAGTTTAGAGATGTTTCTTAAGCAAAAGGAACGGGACAAAGATTTTACATGAGTCAAGGCTCAGAGAAGAGTCAAATATTACTCAAAGATTTCAAATATTTGACTTGACAGAAGGACAGAAAGGAGCAAGAACCTGACTAATTTTAGAATGTAGTTCAGGAGGGGGTATGATCATGGTCTCGGTCTTATTCGTGTTTAATAATAATGAAAATGGATTGCATTTATATAGTGCTTTTCGAGATGCTCAAAGCGCTTTACAATTCCACTATTCATTCACTCTCATATTCACAAACTGGCTTAGAACGAAGTAGTTGCTTGAAAGCCAATCAGAAACCCGAGTTAAGCACTGGACTAGGGTTGACAGTCTATCCAGCTGATGAGGCTTAAAGGACATATGCAGCTGGATGTCATCATCATAAAAATGATAAGACAAGTGGCTAAAAGACTGAATAATGCCAGCTAAAGGAAGCATATAAAAAGAAAATATTAATGGACCTAAAACTGAACCCTGTGGCACTCCGCAGGTTAGGGCAGCAAAGTTAGAGGTGAACTTATCAGTCCTAACAGAAAAAGTCCTCTCTGATAAGTAGGAAGAAAACCAGTCTAGGGCAGAGCCAGATATACCAGCCAAAACCTTAAGCCTGTTAAGTAGAATTTTGTGGTCGATGGTATCAAAGGCTGCACTAAGATCAAGTAAAATGATCACAGAACAAATCCCTGCATCAGATGGGGGCCTCTGTCAGTGCACCCCGGGGTGGCTGTGGCTACAATGTAGCTGCCATCACCAGTGTGTGTGTGGATGGGTGGATGACTGGATGTGTAAAGCGCTTTGGGGTCCTTAAGGACTAGTAAAGCGTTATATAAATACAGGCCATTCACCATCAGATGCCGTTAATAGATCATTATAGACTTTTAAGAGAGTGGTCTCCATAGAGTGCTGCTTTTGAAAGCCAGACTGAAAAGGGTCATAAATACGTAATTTACATAATAGGGACCTGAACTGATTTTCAACAATTTCTTCTAGTAATTTACTTAAAAATGGCAATTTTGAAATAGGTCAATAATTACTAGTGGAGCTAGGATCTAAATTCTGTTTTTTAATAGAGTTACTTCTGCATGTTTAAAATAAGTTGGAACACAGTCTATCTATATATACATACACGCACGCACGCACGCACGCACGCACACACACACACACATACACACACACACACAGCTGTGTACTGCCTTTTGTTCCTGGAGAAGGTATTTAACTGAGAGCTATGCTAGACTCTGTGAGACTTCGCTGACCGTCTGCCCCAAGTAGGCTCTCCATCAAGCTTATTTTTCTGGGGTTCTTTGCGTTTTGGTTAAAGAATGTTAGCTACTGCTCGCCGCTTGTCTGCAGGCTTTATTTAAATGGAAAACATCCACAACAGTGTGATTGGAGAAAAGGTAAATGACCCATGACAGCAAGGGGTATCTTCATAAATGGTAGCACTTGGGGAGATGGTCCATTCCTTCTGTCCATCACCTTATTTACGAAGTAACTGAGGAAAGTATTACAATCTTCATCAGAAAGTAACAGAGCATGCTGGGGTGGTGGAGAGACAATACTGCTCATGGTATCAAACAGAACTCCTGAATTATTTTTATGACGTTTTATAAGATTATTGAAGTAAAACGATCTGGCCTCTTTGACTGACTCACTATATAAGTGAAGAAGTTCTTTGAAGTGTTGACGACGGACAATCAGACCAGTGGACTTCCACAGATGCTCTGATTTTCGACAGGAGCGTCGAGGACCAGAGTCTGATTATTTAACCATGGTGTGGGAACTAACAGAGCAATGACTGATTTTGAAAGGAGCAACCTGATTGAGAATAGCAAGACAGTGTTCATTAAAAGAATTAGTTAGAAGGTCACCTTGTTGGAAGAAGTTTTAAAATTACAAGACAGGAAAACTTAGAAATGATAGAGTCATCAATAAAGCGCTTGCAGCAGTATGAGTAGGCCCTGCTACATGCTGAACAAAATTGAAAGAGTCCATAATGTTCAGGAACTCCCTAGTGGTACTATTTGTTAAGTCATGCATATTAATGTTGAAATCTCCAACAATGATGACCTTGCCCATTTTAATAGTGGAAGTTAATAATTCTTGTAAGTCTGGCCTCAAATCCTCCCCCCTCCCCATTCCAATTAAAGAAAGAGAAATGCTGCTGAAAGTAAAGTTTTAGGATTAACAGACCGAACAAAAGCCTCCTTCCCTCACTGCTCACAGACACTTTCTTTGACCATGTTTGTGTGTTTCTCTCAGACTCAGAGTCTCCTCAGAGCACTGCAGTGGTGTTGGAAAATGTCACAGACAACATGTCCACAGATCTGCTCTCCATGCTGGTGGAGATCATCTCTGGGTTGGATGAGAACGGCTACAGCATGGAGAGGATCCTGGAATCCAACAAAGCTGTGGTCACCTTCAGCAGCCCTGCAGGTAGGAAGCAAACAGCTAGATGTTTCCACATACATAAACACAAACACAACAAGGCAATACAAGGACAAACATTCAAAATCCCCTTTAGGTTAACCTTTGAGTCTAATTTTAAACCTGACTAAACTGTCTAAATATTTAGTACTTTTTTTTTTTTTTTCTGCCTGTCCCGTTTGGCTCTTTTGCATCAGAATTGTTGTCTAAAGGCAAAGAAAGATGCCCAACGGATTTACTTTACCAAACTGACCATCCCAGCCTTGCCGTAATGGTCCATTTGATTCACCTTTTATTGTTTATTTTATTTTCACTTGCTGAATACGGGACAGACTTGACTGGGGGAAAGAAGGAGAGAAAGAAAGAGAAACAGCTGAGAAGAGGGACGGGGGAGAAGGGCAAAAAACAAAAACCAACAGAATGGGCAGAAAAAAAAATGCATCTATGGATCACCTGTTGAGAAAGAAAAAAGAAAACAAGCCGAAGAGAACAAGAGTAACAGAATAAACAACATCACAATGATATATGGGAATATGACAGTAAATACTAAATGTTAAACATTATTGTGCAGCACATAAGATCAACAGAACACAGTGTGCTTTGAGGTAGGAGCCAAAAAGGGTGTAGTTTGTGGGTGTGATCACCCGTGTGTACACCTGTGAGCATGGACGCGCTTGTTTTTTTAAAAGGTTCCTTCATGTAATGATCTGCTAGAGGGTGTGGGGCGGCCACAGCCCCGTCCTCCAGGGCATGAAGCAGGTATGGAGGAGATCAAAACTCCAGACATCCAGAGGCCCCCAGAACACAAGAGACCAAGGAAGACCCACAGAGGGGCAGCTGCGCCACTGTCCCAGAAAGAGCTGAGGAGAGTCCCAGATGAGGGTTCACCCAGCAGCCGCGGAGCAGAAGCCAGGGGGAGTTGCAGTGACGCGCCCGTGAGCTCCGCCGGCAGCCAGCTGTGCCTGAGTGACCGAGCCCCAGGCCGAGAGGTCGGGGGCACCCCACCCCCGAAGTGGACCGAGCGAGCCCCAGGCTCCAGGCCCCGATAAGCGGCCACCAAGGAGTGAGCCGGTGTGTACCTGGACGCCCATCCCCGGACACAAAGAACCACCAACGCACCGATGTCTGAGGGGGTCCGCCACTGGCAGGGGAAGTGGTGGTGGGGGGAGATAGGCCTCCAAACCTTGGAGGGCCTGAGATGTCCCCAGAGAGGTGGCGCCTGACACCCAACCTGACATATAGACACAGACATACAGGCACACACAGACACAAACATCCATTCCCACCCTCATGCTCTCATATGCACTTACTCCACACTCAACCAACGTGGAGACAGACATAAAGAGACGCTGTACACACGATCACACTCCCCAAGCGTACTCTACAAACCGGGTCTAGGTACCCCTTGCCCCTGGAGGGGGGAACTGCACCCAGACCCAGGTGGTGTTACCCTTTTCCCTGCGGTGGGGAGAGGCAGACCGCCCCGACTCCGTAGCAGCAGGGAGGCCCCACACCCCAGACCGCAGTCGGACGGCCAACTCCTCCTAGCCCCCCGCTCCAGCAGGCTGCAGAGAACGGGGGTGAGAGAAGACTCCAAACCTCCCTCCACCCGCTCATTGTAGTGTTGATGCATGTGTGTTCTAAGGTGCATTTAAACCCCAGGAGGGCATGGAGCTACCTGCCAGAGAGCAGCAGGTAAGCGCATGGTCCCTCCTGCTAGCCCTCAATGTCTACGTGTATTTAAAATTGAGAGGTGGGCAACGATGCCAGGGGTGAGGTGTACACCCTGATGGTAACTTGGACTCCGTGTATCGTGCCCACCCCCAAGATCCTATATGTATGTGTAATGAGAGTGTGAGTAATGTGAATGTCTAAGTTGTGGGATAAAATTGAGGCAGAGGCAGCCAGAAGGGGACAGAGGGGGGGGGGGGGTTAGCCTCCTCTGCACCCTGGTGACATACCCCTACTCCAAGGCCCTGCATGTGTGGGTGGTTGTGGTGGAGCGGGAAGAGGGAGGCAGCTGGAGATGGGGAGGGAAGGAAGGGAGGGGCAAGTGACCCCTCCCTGGGGCCAGCTCCCCCGCTGACCCCAGTAGGCACCCCCATACTCCGCGACCCGCCAGGGAAAGGGGGCCCAGGCCCATCCAGACCGGGGCCCAGTGCAGCAGCGCCGCCCGGCCCCACAGAGCCCGGGACAGTCCACCCAACCCCACCACAGAGAAAACTGCACCCACCCCACCATCCACTCGTCTTCCAGACTACATAAGACAATAGACGCCCAGGCTGAGATCTTCCTCCACCTCTCCTGTATCTCCCCCTCCTGCAGAGGGAGCTCCTGAAGAGCAGAAAGCTCCTGCAAGATGTGTCAATCTCCCCCACCAGTTGAAGAGCCCCCCAGGTGGCTCGACGCACCGGCGGCACCCTGCTCCAGGGCTGGGCCCCCATGCACCCACCCGCACACAACCCCGGCAACACACCTACCAGGACCCAAGCCCCTGAGGCCCGACCAGGGCCCCAGCCCAGAGACGGCGCGCCCCCAGAACCTCACGCCCATCCCGGACCCACCCAGGGGCAGCCAGGCTACCAGGTCAGTAACCCACGTCCGTCAGCACAGACCCTCCCCTAGCCCCGCTGCATGCAACCACGAGGAAACCGTCACCTGAGAGCCAACAGAGCCCCTAATCGGACATGACCGCTACCCCGGGTTGAGCCCCCCAAGGAAGATGCCTCCGGGGAACCCCCCGACGCCCTAAGCCTGTCCCTACCCCCACACCAATCACAACAGTGAAGGCGGGACCAAACTATGACCCCCCACCCCCACTAGGTGATGGAGCTGATCAAAGGAGCCCAGAGCAATTGATCTGATGTGGTGGCAGAGGCTGTATCAAGACTAATGTAATCTAATAGATAATTTCTATATTGGTTAGAATTAAGATTGTTTTTATTTTTCCAGTTCATGAGGACTGTTTTCTTGGCTATGCATAGGGCAGTGAAAACCATATGGGCTATATTCTTTTCTGAAGTGACATTATCTAAGCTGCCCAACAAACACACTAAGGGGGAAGTTGGAATGTTACATTTCAGACACTTCGATAAGTCTTCACATATCTCGTGCCAAAACTTCTGAACTGGTGGACAGAACCAAAGAGCGTGGATATAATTGTCCGGTGAATTGATTTGGCAGTGTGAGCAGTTGTTGGTAGACGTGAAGCCCATCTTGAACATCCGATGACCTGTATAGTGCACTCTATGTAATATTTTGTATTGAATTAATTGAAGACTGGGATTTCTAATTAGATGAAAGGTTTTTAAGCAAATCTGAGACCAGAATATTTAGTACTTTGAGATTTCAATAATGTAAATGAATGAATGAACACAAATGAGTCAACAGACACAATATTCCTCTTTGAGCAGAGAAACTTATCACTGCTCTCCTTTATCACCATTCTGTTTGCTGCCACTGCATCTCAACATCTTTGTTGCTTTACATACAACATAAAGTCGTCTACATACAAAATATGATCACAACATGCAGGAGCTCATTTAATATTTTTCTGTGAACACAACCAGTGCAATCATACATTCTCTTATTCATTATAACCTGGATTCTAACCTTGAATCAGGATCTATTGCAAAGAACAGAAACAGCATAAAATGACAGCATATCTGTCTCCAATAAAGGAGGATTATTAAATATGGAAAATAAATAATGTAGTCTATGCGTTTTGAAACAAGGACCAACCCTAATCCATACAGCTTCATTCATTAAGAACATGATGATATGTGGTAATCCAGCACTTCTCGTTCATCATGTTTCAGTCTCAAAGCATTAATCTGGATTATTTTGCAGATGTGGAGAGATTCCTCTCTGTAAGTCAGAGCAGCACAAAGATGAAGAAACAAGGACTGACTGCTCGGCCTTTGGAGGCAGCTACGAACATCCGAGTAGAGAGTCTTCCTCCGACTGTGGTGAAAGGTACATGTGGTCCGTTGCTATTTCAGTTACACTGGCTTCCTGTTGAATTCAGACTATATTTTAAGATCCTGGTTTTGAGTTTTAGAGCTTTGCATGGACTGACACCAGCTTACATCTCTGATCTTCTACAGCCCTATGTTCCCCAGGTCCCTGAGATCATCTGATCAGGGCTTATTTCCTATAAAATACACTAAGATGAGACCTAAGGGTGATAGAGCTTTTGTCAATGTGGCCCCTGACTGTGGGACTCTCTCCCTCTGAGCCCAAGAACTGTGTAAACGGTATTGACTTTCAAAAAACAACAACAAAAAAGAAAAATTCACCTTTTTAGAATTGCTTTTGGTTAATTTTTGCCTGTTTTATGTTTTTGTTTTATGTGCAGCACTTTCTGATTCTCTGTCTAGAAAGCTGCTATATAAATAAAATTTTACTTACTTTACTTTTACTAGCAATCCATACATTATTAGTAAAGCTGCGATTAAGGAAAGGCAAGGCAAGTTTATTTGTATAGCACAATTCAACAACAAGGTGATTCAAAGTGCTTTACAGAGACAGAAACAAAAACAAATAAAAAGCATGATTTAAAATTGATTAAAACAAGCAAATAAACTAACTAACTAATTAACAAACAAACAAAACAGTATATAAAATCAAAACAGATAAAATCAAGACATTTAGCTGCTATTAAGACATTTAGTAAGTAAGTAAGTAAAGTTTATTTATTAAGCGCTTTTCATAGACAGGTAGTCACAAAGCGCTGCACACAGAGATTAAAATAAACAGTACGATAAATAGCAAAATGCACAATATACACAATATAGAGTTTAAATGTAGATTAAAAATGTAAAAAAGTAAAAAGCATTGGTCAACAGAAAGCTTGTTTAAACAGTAAAGTTTTTAACTGCTTTTTAAAGGATTCCACAGAGTCAACCAAACGTAGTTGTAGAGGTAGACTGTTCCACAGCCTTGGTGCCACAGACTGAAAGGCTCCGCCCCCTTTCGTCTTCAGTCGTGTTTGGGGAGCAACCAACAAACTCTGAGTCTGTGAGAGGAGATGGCGAGCAGCAGTGTATTTTGTGAGAAGCTTGGATAAATAATCTGGGGCCATTTAGTGCTCTGTACGTTAAAACAATAATTTTAAAACGAATTCTAAAATCTATAAAATAGGAGCGATGTGAGCTCGCTGGGTAGAGCGAGTTAGTAGTCTGGCTGTTGCGTTTTGTATAGCTTGGAGGCGAGAAAGAGATGATTTATCCAAGCTGGTAAACAGGGAATTACAATAATCTAAACGCGATGACACAAATGCATGGACAATTTTTTTCCAGTTCAGCTAAGGAGGCCATATAAGATAAGATAAAACTTTATTAATCCCTCGGGTGGGTTCCTCTGGGAAATTCGGTATGTCGCAGTTTAGAAATATTCCTTAAATGAAAGAAACAGGAACGAGACAGAGATTTTACGTGTGAGTCAAAGCCCAAAGTACAGTCAAATATTACTCTAAGATTTCGAATATTTGACTTGACAGATGGACAGAAAGAGGCAAGAACCTGACTGATTTTAGAACATAGATCAGGAGGAGCTATGATCATGGTCCGAATTAAAGTAGTACAGCATGCTGAGTTGCAGGAGAAACAATACTGTTGATGGTATCAAATATAATTCTTGTGTTATTTTTATGACGATTTATGAGATTATTGAAGTTAGAGGATCTGCCCTCTTTGACTGACTCATTATATAAGTGAAGAAGTTCTTTGAAGTGTTGACGATGGACAACCAGACCAGTGGACTTCCACAGACGCTCTGATTTTCGACAGGAGCGTCGAGGACCACGGGTTTGATTATTTAACCATGGTGTGCAGGAACTAACAGTGCAATGACTAGTTTTGAGAGGAGCAACCTGAGTAAGAATGGCAAGACAGTGTTCATTAAAAGAATTAATAAGAATGTCAACATCATCAGAAGAAGGTTGGTTCCCGCCACCTCCACGGGCCCGCATCCAGCTCCGGCAGGTAGACACTCAGCCGTAAATTGAGAGACTCACCTTTCAGCTCTCTCTTCAGCACAACAGACCGGTACAGCATCCACAGCACCAATCCGTCTGTCGATCTTTTGTCGATTTTTTTTTTTGTTATTGTTATTGCTATGTCTGTTTTTTATTACTATGTGCATATTAGTATTGTACAGCACTTTGGTCTACCAGGTGTGTTTTTAAAGTGCTATATAAATAAATGATGATGATGATGATGATCTCCCGCTCCCGTCACTCGTGAACAAGACCCCGAGATACTTAAACTCCTCCGCTTGTGGCAAGATCCCTGACCCAGAGTGGGTGCTCCTCCCATTTCCGACTGAGGACCATGGCCTCTGATTTGGAGGTGCTGATTCTCATTCCCACCGCTTCACACTGGCTGCGAACCGTTCCAAGGCGAGCTGAAAGCCATCACCCTATGAAGCCAACCGAACCACATCATCTGCAAAAAGCAGATATGAGATCCTGAGACCACTCAAGTGAAAGCCTTCCGTCACTTGACTACACCTTGAAATTCTGCCCATGAAAATTATGAACAGAATCTGTGACAAAGGGCATCACCCACCAGGAATGAGTCCGGTGGGTGTTGGGCTCCTACTTTGGTGTTTCATGATGAAAAAAAAATGTTTGATGAACTCTGACACTCGCTTCATGTTAATGTGAAATTTCATAGAGTGACCAGGACAATAACCTTTAGAAAGTGAATTTCTCCTTTAAGCAGCTGTAAAACTGTGAATTTCTGTCTTATTTCTAGACATGCTGGAGCTGTATTTCGAGAACTGGAATCTGCCAGACAATATCATCATGATTCCGGCTGAACAGGCTGCCATCATCACATTCAGCGACCCTAAAGGTGCTTTTAGTTTTTTAAATTTAATAGTTTATAAGTGACTAAATTTAGGATTCAGTTCGGTATATATTCATTATTTTAATTTGGTCGTTTCAACAGATTATAAACCCACAACAATGATTTCTCTCAGTAATCCACCAGAGTTTAGTGAGCTCTAACAGAGATCTAGATTAGAAGTTGGGATAACGGTGATGGTTTATTACAAAGTTCCTACACATCTTTAAACGCAAATTGTTTAGCAAAATATGGACAAATGCTTCTAACTAAGCTGTCACAATGTATACTGTATGATTAATAGTTCCCTTTACTGGAAGCTAAGCAGCTAAGATGAAAACAAGGACAGATGATACAGACCAGGAGTAAGAGCAAAGTTATTCTCGTGTTTTTGCTTATTTAGTAATTTAATTCTAAAGCAGGGGACACCTCTTCAGTAGCCAGGGGCAAGTGGAAAACAAAATAAGCATAACTTTTTGAGCTTTTAAAAGTGAACCTGGGCAAAAAGTGACAGTTATTACTAAAGATGATGAGAATAACAAAAGGTATAAGTTTAATGTACGAACAAGTAGTTAAAATTACTGTACAAATAGTTAGCTAACTGAAAAATGGTAAACTGTCCAGATCCTAATTTGACATTTGTTTAAATAACCTAATTTCAACATGAAATGTGTTATAGAGAATGATTCTGGCCAAATGAGTAACGTCTGAAATACTCATAATTTGTATAAATGTTTATAAAATTATTTTCTAAATCCAAGCGGTTAGAGCAGGGGTCTGCAACCTTTAACACCCAAAGAGCCATTTGGAGCCGGTTTCCACGCAAAAGAAAACTCTGGGAGCCGCAAATACTTTTTGACATCTAAAATGAAGATAAAACTGTATATATTGTTTTTTACCTTTATGCTTTGTGTGAACAAATAAGGTGTGTTGCTTGTGAAATCCATGAAGTGCTACAGAGAAAATTAAATTTTATTTATGTAATTAACACATTTTGAACTCTTAAAGAAATATAACAAAAGGAAAGACACGCAGCTGAACTAAAAAGATCCATGTAGCAAACAAAAACTGCTGTGAGCCGCCCTTATATCGCCTCTGGGCTTTTGGAGCCTTGACCCGACTTTTAAAAAATAATTGGAAAAAAAATACTATGCTGCTAAAAGATGAAAAATAGATATTTGCAAAATTCTGCCTAAATATGTATTTTACCTGGTTAATGTGCGTGGCGGGGCATGGTCTGCAGCACAGCTTCAGGGGAGGCGGACGCACCTGAGCGGCACCGCAATCACGCCTCGCCTCCTTGTTGTCTGTGCTCTCTCTGCTGTTGTGTTGGTGTGTGTCGGGCTGTGAGCTGAAAAGCTACAGCCGGCTGTATGCGTACAGCAACCGTGTGTGAAAAGTGGTCAGTAAAGAGATGCTGAAAAGCATGTTCATGGAAACATCGTCGGGTCTGCCGTGATATGTTAACAATGGGACTTCAGCTCCTGAACCTCTGTGCACAGCGTCTGCAAATCGGGGATGTACAAAGTCACTTTCATCTTTACAGGACTGAAAGCTGTCGTCTGTGAGGCGTGAGCAGTGTTTGTAGTTCACGGTGGAGAATAGCTGCTGACATAATGTGGCTCCGAAGATTCATAATTTACCTACCTGGGGCTGAAAGTCTCGATAAATGCACGGCGTTCCGGCGGGTACACCGGCTTCCGCGAGTGTGACGCTTATTTTGAGTGATGAAAACTGCATTGTTCCTCCTGTATCCGAGGTTCGACTAGCGGATGAACTCTCCTTTCCAGCACCCTGGCATAGACTTTCCCAGGGAGGCTGAGGAGCGGGTCATTCCCCTCATCCCCAGACTCTGCCTCCTCCTCAGAAGACGTATCAGTGGAATTAAGGAGGTCCTCGAAGTATTCCTTCCACCACCTGACAATTTTCTCAGTTGACGTCAGCAGCGCTCTGCCAGCACTACACACAGTGCAGGTAGAGCACCGCTTTCCCCTCCTGAGACGTCTGACAGTTTGCCAGAATCTCTTTGAGGCAGTCCGAAAGTCTTTTTCCATGGACTCTCCGAACTCCTCCCACACCAGAGTTTTTGCTTCAGCCACCGCCAGAGCCGCATTTCCGCTTGGCCTGTCGATACCTGTCGGCTGCCTCCGGAGTCCCAAAGGCTAACCAAGCCCGATAGGACTCTTTCTTCAGCCTGGTGGCTCCCTTCACCTCTGGTGTCCACCATTTGGTTCGGGGATTACCACCACGGCAGGCACCAACCACCTTGCGGCCGCAGCTCAATGCAGCAGCTTCGGCAATGGAGACGCTGAACATGGTCCATTCGGACTCAATGTCACCAGTCTCCCTCGGAATGCTGTTGAAGCTCTGCCGGAGGTGTGCGTTGAAGATCTTGCAGCCTGGGGCCTCTGCTAGACGTTCCCAGCACACCCTCACTACGCGTTTAGGTGCACCGGGTCTGTCCAGCATCCTCCCCCGCCACCTGATCCAACTCACCACCAGATGGTGATCAGTTGACAGCTCTCTCTCTTTACCCGAGTGTCCAGAACATATGGTCGCAGGTCTGGTGATACGATTACAAAATCAATCATCGACCTGCGGCCTAGAGCATCCTGGTGCCACGTGCACTTATGGACACTCTTATGTTCGAACAAGGTGTTCGCTATGGCCAAACTGTGATTAGCACAGAAGTCCAATAACAGAACACCGCTCCGGTTCAGATCAGGGAGGCCGTTCCTCCCAGTCACGCCCATCCAGGTCTCGCTGTCGTTACCCACGTGAGCATTGAAGTCTCCCAGCAGGACAACAGAGTCTCCATGTGTAGCATCTTCCAGCAGGAGGGAGGCAAAGGAGCCCCCCAGCCAGGCTGAGAGGACCACGGTCAATAACAGCCCCGGTGCAGAGAGCGCCCTCCGAGGAAACACTGGAGATATGACGCAATACAATATATATAGGGTAAAATGATAAAATAAATAAGAACAGGATACAATATAAATATAAATAGAATAAGAAGATTAAAAAATGAATAAGAATAAAATCAAATAAATATTAGGTAAATCCTAAATTAATAATAGAATAACAGGATAGAATAAATAAGCATAAAATAAATAAACGCTAAGTAAAAGCTAAATTAAAAAGGTGGGTCTTGAGCCTGTTCTTAAAAACATGTACGTTCTCTGCGGCCCTGAGCTCCTCCGGCAGGCTGTTCCACAGACGAGGACCATACCACTGAAAAGCTGCCTCTCCGTGAGTATGTGTCCTGACTTTAGGGACAATCAAAAGGCCAGTACCAGAGGACCTCAGGGTCCGCGAGGGTTCGTATGGTAAAAGCAGATCTGAGAGATAAGATGACAGTCAGGACCCGTTCCCCGACCCTAAGACGCAGGGAACAAACCCTCTCATCCACCGGGAAAAACCCCAACGTACCAGCAGCAAGCCGAGGGGATACTAGAATACCCACCCCAGACCGCCGCCTCTCACCAGGGGCAACTCCAGACTGAGACAGAGTCCAGCCCCTCTCCAGGAGACTGGTGCCAGCCCAAGCCATGTGTAGAGGTGAGCCCGACTATATCTAGCCGGTACCTCTCAACCTCACGCACTAACTCAGGCTCCTTCCCCACCAGAGAGGTGACATTCCATGTCCCTATTGCCAGTCTTGGCAGCCGGGGATCAGTCCGCCAGGGCCTCCGCTCCTGGCTGCCACCCGGCACACAATGCACCCGACCCCTATGGCACTTCCTGCAGGTGGTGGGCCTGCGGGAGGATGGGCCCATGTCTCCTCTTCGGGCTGTGCCCGGCCGGCCGGATGAAAAAGTAATAGAATATAATTTTATTTTTATATTTCAATATCACAATAATCTTCCAATTTAGAACTACAAGTTAAAAAAGAACTAACATAAATAAAATACACTTCAGCTAAATACTTCTAATTTATTTTCGCAAACCACCTGGAGCCGCAGTATAAGAACTAAAGAGCCACATGCAGCTCCGGAGCCGCAGGTTGCCGACCCCTGGGTTAGAGTAACCACTTACCTAACCTTTGTTTCTCTGCTCCTCTTTTGCTGCAGTTGTGGAAAAGATTTGCATAAAAAAAGACCTCGAGATCAAGTCTGTCACGGTGAAAGTGTATCCATACTACAAGTCACTGGGAACCGCCTTGTACGGCAAAGAACGACCAACATGGAAGATGCCTGACCCCTTCACACAGCATGTTCACCACGTTATCTGGAAATTCCTTGTGGAGAAGAAACTATCAGAACACATCAATGATCAGATGCGTCCACATTTCTGCAGAGTGGATTTAAATCACCCCAACGTGAAACTCAGCCCTGTGCCAGAGTTTTTGAGGCAGCAAGGTCTGACTGCAGAACATGTAGATAACTGGATGAATAAGGCCCAACATGCCTTCCATCGCCTGATGTCTCAGTACACAGCATTCATATGTCAAGCAAATGCGCAGGGATGGACAGCTGCAGAGAAAGATGTCCGTTCAATTGTGAAAGAAGATGCCATCCTGGTGCTGGATGCATCACAAGGGGTTTTGACTGTTGCTGGCCGAGCTGATAGATTAAAGAAAATCAAGGCTCCTGTGGAGAAGATCCTTCTTAAAGCAATGGGTCACATTGAACGACAGACAAACAGCATCTCTGAGGAAATGATTTTGTCCCCTGCAATGTTTTACATTCTGAACCAGGAGGGGCTCCACAATGCTGCTCTGAATGTTTCTCCTGAGATGAAACTCTCTTATGATGAAGGCACCCAGAAGTTGACAATTAGAGGACTACCTGCAGAGGTCTACAAGACCAAGTCATGGATCTCTGAGAAGATAATGAATATGAGTAAGAAACATCAGAGTGTCCCCCCATGTCTTCTAGACTTTCTCAGAAAATTGGATCCCATGGACTTGTCCCAGGATTTGTTCACATCTCAAGGCATCAGTGCAATCTACACCATCGACAACAAAAGTGTTCTCCTGTTCGGGAGTTCTGACAGAGCCCTTGTTGATGCAGAAAGTAAGATGAAGACTGCTTTGGCTCATCAGATTGTAGAAGTGGAAGACCAAAAAGTTCTAAAACTTCCCACCTGGGGCCACCTGAAGCAAAAGCTGCTGGATACCTACAACTTATCAAAGAAAAAAAAGACTGTGGCCATTGAGATGCATCCACAAAGAAGAGATAAAATAACAGTGGCTGGTTTTGTGGATCCAGTGAAAGAGGTCAGCCAGAGTCTGAGGGAGTTTATTGCAAGCAATTCACAAGTCCAAGAAATCCTTCGTCTCCAATTCTGTGCTGTTGTTTTGTTTATTAAAAAGAAGAAATCAAAGGAATGGTCCAGTATCGTTAAAGATAATGATGTATCAGTAAGGTTTTATGTACAGAAGCAGAGCATCAGCATCCTTGGTGCCCGTCTTAATGTCCAGAAAGCCAAATCCTGCTTTATGGAACTGGCCAGTGCTCTCTTTACTGACACCTTAACTGTGGACAAGCCCGGAGCAAAGAAATACTTCCAAAACCAAGGAAAAATGTTACTGTCTACATTAATGAATGAGATAAGATGTGCGGTCTTCCTTCGTCCAGAGATTGAAGAAGATGAAGAAGAAGAAGCAGAGAATTATGAAGAAGAAACTAACTTTTGTTATTGTAAAGTGCAGACCAACAGTGGAGTACTGATTTCTGTCAGTAAGGTGGACATCTGCAGCTTTGGTGTGGACGCTGTGGTCAATGCAGCTAATGAGGACTTAGACCACATTGGTGGCCTGGCTTTGGCACTGCTAAAGGCTGCAGGACCACAGCTGCAGAGAGAAAGCAGCGACTACGTCGCTAAAAATGGACGTCTACGTCCTGGTGACGCCATCATAACAGATGCCTACAACCTGCCTTGCAAACATGTTGTCCATGCAGTTGGTCCACGATTCTCTGACTTTGACAAGAAGACAGCAGTGTCACGCCTGAAGACTGCCGTTAGAGAAAGTCTGAGACAAGCAGAGATGGCCAACTGCTCCAGCATTGCACTGCCAGCGATCAGCTCGGGCATCTTTGGTTTCCCCGTTGACCTCTGTGCTGAGACCATAGCCCAGGCAGTTCGGGAGCACTGTGACAGCCCACAAGGTCTGAGATCATTAACTGAGATTCACCTGGTGGACAACAACGATACGACCGTCAGAGTCATGGCTACAGCTGTGAGCAAGGAGTTCTCAGACCTCCGACCTACCATGACCATCCCACAGCAAGCAGGCGGGAAACGAACAGGAGTTTCAGGGTAATGTTAAAGTTTTTTAATAATAAACTTTTACTGCAGTGAGCAACTAGTTAGACTAGTTTAGGAAACAATACTGGAATAAGGGAAAACTGCAAGTCTGACTAGCATCATGATCACAGGATCGAGGGTACTATAATGTCATTATGGGTTTTGGGTTTTGTTTTAAGTTTATTGTCATTTAGAATGGTGCTACCCAGGCTGAAACAAAATACTGTTTCTCACCAGCCTCTATAGTGCAATAGTCAATACAAATTAAAAACAAACAGGAGCAATAAAAGGACAGCAATAAATTGCAGCAATAAACAGGGATAAATAACATAAAATCTAAATTCTAAAATGAACTCAAGTATACATATGTCACGGCCAAGACTGAAGCAGACAACCAGACTCAAATGCAGATAACACACAGAGGCTAGGATGAGTAATTAACAAAAGTTTATTTTCCAGGGCCTGACAAATACTGTGAGCTATAAACAGGAGTGATACTGAACTATGACAAATACTAGATTTTACAAAAGCACCAGAGAATTCTGACAAGGGGATAGGTACAGGGGCACAGGGCAGGAAACACTGAACACTAGAATGAGAGGAGACAACTTTTAGTGGCTGAGTCTGTAAATCCTGGTGAGTATGAACCATGAAGAAACATTCTTACTTTGGCGGGTGGAGGAATGGCAAGGGAGAGGTAAGTGGTCAAAGTGAGGCAGTTTCGGTCTCCAGGAAAACATGGTCCGATTGAGTACTGTGACAGGAGGACAGGCAGGTCGAAGAGGTGCTGTGATGCAAAGAGCTGCCAAGCACAAACCAGCTTCAGGATGAAAGAGTGTATCGCCAGAGGATGGAGGTGACAACAGGATGGTGTGGTTAGCTGAAGACTTGGCGAAGAGGAGTGGTGAGTGCTGGTCTTAAGTACTGGCAGCTCAATTGCCAGCAGGTGTAGAGACATGTAGGAAAGCAGCGACTCTGCCCAGGGGTGGAACAGTGACTCAGTGGAAAAAACCCCAGCACTCACCCAGACCATGACAACATAGTCCCGCTCATTCAGGTAGAGGATAACTAAGTCAAACAGTGTGTGTATCTGGGGAGTATATTGTGTGTGTGCATATGTAGAGCATCACAGCTTGCTTGTGGATTTTACAGTATATCTGTGTGAATAGCTGAATGGATGGAGAGGGTGCACAGTCCATTTATCAGTCTCACAGCTTCTGCAAAGAACCCTTCCAGCATCCTGGTGGTTCTGCAGCTGATGCATCTGTACCTCCTGTCAGACGGCAGGCAGGAGGGAGTACAGGCCATGAGACGGGTGGTGGGAGTCTCCGATGATGAAGATAGCTCTGCATATACATCGCTGTTTGTAGATCTCCTCCAGAGACGAGAGAGGGGCACCAACAATCCTGGCAGTCTTAACAATCCTATTGAGTTGTCGCTTCTCATAGGACTTGCAGCTGCCAAACCAAGATGTAAAACCTTGTGTCAGAATGTTTTTAATGGTGCCTCTGTAAAATGGTTTAAGGTGAAGTTTGGAGAGTCCTGCTTCTCTGATTCTACCAAGGGAGTGGAGACTTTTGTGCTTTTTTTATATCTGCTGTGGTATTAATGGAGAAGGACAGGTCATCAGCTAGGTGCACACCCAGAAACTCAACACTGCTGACTATTTCCACAGCGGCACCATCTATGGTGAGGTCTGTGTGGTGATCTCTGCCAACCTTCCTGAAATCAATCACCATCTCTTTTGTTTTATCTACACTCTGAATTAAATCTAACATAAAAAAAAATATAAAAATTGAGGAGGAAACATTTTGATAATGACTGGTATAATTCAAAACAGACTGACAGCTCTCCAAGTAAGACTTCAGTATTAAATAAAACTGTCCAGTTATGAAGCCGAACTATAATCACAGCCAAAACCAATCTACTCAGGAACAAAAATCAAACAGAGGATTTGTAGCAAAAGTGTGTAGCGAAAAACCGCGCGGGGGTTGAAAACGCTGTGCCGGGAGTACGCCCCTTGAAGAGCCGGTCAGCCAGGGCTGGACTGAGACAAAATATTGACTCGGGCATTTTGACTAGAGACCGACCACCACATTATAGGAAAAACCATAAAGCCTTTGAACAAAACAAACACTGTTGTGACAGTGATGTACACTGTGTTGTTGGTATATATATGATTTCTATTCAGTTTACATGAGATGAACACTAAAGGACATCTCCTGGTTTCAGTTCAGTTCAGTTCATTTTTATTTCAACCATTTCAAACATGTGCCTTGACAATCATTACAAAATATGATTCCATTATTTGTTTGAAAAGGAGTAGGCTGAAGTATTTACTTATTTGTCCCTACCCCCTCAAGTTTTACCTCTCATTCATTTAATTTTTTTTAGTCTTAAATTAAACAAACAACATATGAAACAAAAGTAAAGCAAAACAAAACCAAACATACATGAATCAAAAACAAGAAATTAGCACCACAGTATAGTTTCTTTCATATGAAAAATACAGAATGTGTATATTTGCAGATACACAAGTTATGGAAAAACAAACAAACCAAATCAAAAAAACCAAAAAAGAACCGCAACACCATTACCAGCAACATTACCGTCCTGGGTTAACCCCGTTTTCTTCATTCTTATACTTATTTAAAATTAGGTTTTTATATTTTACTTTAAACTGTTTCATGTTTTTACTTTCTTTTATTTCTTCTGTTAGACTGTTCCATAATTTAACTCCTGCAATTGAGATAGACATAGTTCTTTGGTTGTTCTAGCACAGGGGTGTCAAACTCAAATACACAGTGGGCCAAAATTCAAAACTGGAACAAAGTCGCGGGCTAACATTAATATTTATTGAAATATATTTATTCCTCCAGATATGAGAATGAATCTTTTCTTATGGACTAAAACACGTTTTGCTGAAAAACTGAATATGGAACAAGCAAAGCTTAATACTAAACAATATATATATTAGCTGTATAATACCAGTAGGCCAGCTCTGATAGTAATTTGGTATGGCTTCTCGGGCCAAATGTAAGTAGGCCAGAGTTTGACACCTATGTTCTAGCACTTTGTATTTTTAAATTCCATTTCCCTCTTAAGTTATACCCACCTTCTCTTTCTATGAACAATTTACAGATTTCTTTTGGAAGCAATTTATTTCTTACTTTATACATTATTTGCGCTGTTTTAAGCTTCACCAAGTCTTGGAATTTAATAGCTTGCATTTTGACAAAGAGTGCATTTGTATGGTCCCTGTACCCTACATTATTTATTAATCTAATGGCCCTTTTCTGTATTATAGTTATTGTTTGTGTGTTACTTTTGTATGTGTTTCCCCAGACCTCTACACAGTAGCTCATATATGGCAGTAGTAAAGCACAGTATAAAATGTGCAGTGCTTTCTGATCCAACATATGCTTTGCTTTCCCCAGGACGGCAATGCCCCGTGCCAATTTCCCCCGAACATAAGTAATGTGTGGCTTCCAACAGAGCTTGTGGTCAATGATCACCCCAAGAAATTTTATTTCATTTACTCTTTCTAAATATACATTGTCAACACATATTTCTACTTCGATGTTTTTCTTTTGGTTTCCAAACAACATAAATTTGGTTTTATCGAGATTCAATGATAATGTATTTATATCAAACCACTTCTTTAATATCGTTAATTCCTGTGTGATCATCCCCAAAACCTGTGGCAATTCCACACCTGAACACAGTATATTTGTGTCATCTGCAAATATTACAAACTTTAAAATCTCCGATACTCTGCAGATATAATTTAAGTACATAATAAACATTTTTGGACCCAGTACTGAACCTTGAGGTACTCCACAAGCTATATCCATCAAATTAGATTTATATTCATTTATTTGTACATATTGTTGCCTATTCCCTACATAGCTTTTTAACCATTCCAAAACCACTCCCCTAAACTCATACCTTTCCAGTTTTTTTAATAGAATTTCATGATTCATCTTCATGTTTCCCCCTCACCAGATATCCAAACCGATGACCAGCAGCTTTTATGGTTGTGGCTCCAGCAAACATCAACTGGGGGGGGGATATGAGAGGAGAAGAGGCAGCTGTGCATCAAAGACCCAGAATAACTCCAGCTTTGCATCTTTTTTTCAATCTAGCTGAATTTCAGGACAAATTGCGTTCCCTTTCACCTCAATTCAGATGTATTTTAACTGGTCCAGCCCAGAGTCCATCATGACCAATTAGCAAATCAACCACCTTTCATTGTTTATACTGGTACAAAAACAAACAAACAAACATAAAAACAAAAAATCACCAGCGGCCCACCGAGCAAATGCCCGACATACCCGATGGCCAGTCCAGTATGTGGTCAGCTGGTGGGTAACAGGCATCTACAAAACATTAGAGCACTTTTTCTAATATGTGATGTCTTGATAAATCAAGCAGATATTTGAAGTTTACACAGCTACGCCCATATGGAAAAGATATATATAAATCCTATAAAGTTTGTATCTGTCTTGTGTGAAACTTGTATGAAAAGCATACAAGAGTGATCCCTTAAAAAATTATATAAATGAATCTTGTATGTTTTGGATACTTACTAAAACAATATATGAAAGTAATGAGAAAGTGGCCACTTTCATGAGTAAATCATATAAGCCTTATATGATTCACTCATGAAATAGGCCACATCTTATGCAAGTCTTTTACAAGTTTCTACTATTTCTTTTCCGTATGGGCGTTCTCGCATGACAATTTCTTTAAAGATTATTTTTTTGACCCAGGAAGAGTATTTTAATCCTAGCCACTCTTCGTTCCTGCTCAACTGCCTCATTTGAGTTTTGGACGAAACACATTCAGGGATATTTGGCTGGGTTTGGCTCAGGGCTGGACTAGGACAAAAAATCGGCCCGGGCATTTTGACTAGAGACCGGCCCACCAAAAATGTGACGTCATTCAGCGGTAAAACCGCAAAGGATTCTGGGAACTTGTGGCAAGAGGTACTAGCGCATGCAGGCTTTCAA